GTGCCACCAGGGTTAGGTCTTCAGGTAATTAGCACTATGCTATACCACACCATGACACCAACCCTTACTACACCATACCAGGTCTACCAAGACATGCCACACCACGTCATGCCATACCAAGCCATACTACACTATGCCAGGTCATACCAGGCCATGCCATGACATACCAAGCTATACTATAGCAATAGCATGCCATACCATACCAAGCCATGCCACATCATGCCATACCACTCCAAGCCATACTACACTATACCAGGTCATACGAAGCCATACTACACTGTACCATACCATGCCAAGCCATGCCATGCAATACCAAAGCCTACTATGCCATACAATACCAGTCCAAGCCATGCCATGCCATGTCATGCCATACCAAGCCATACTACACCATACCAGGTCATGCCATGCCATACCAAGCCATGCCATACCAAGCCATGCCATACCAGGTCATGCCATACCAGGTCATGCCACACCATACTATACCATGCCAATCCATGTCTTGCCATGCCCAAACCATACTACAGAAACCATTCTCCCTTGCTCTCACGTGCAGAGTCTTCATAGCAGAGTCTTCTTTTGCCCCACAGGCTGTAGCACAGGGGGCAGTTAGGGGTCTGCTGAGGATGACCATACTGGGAGACACTGAGTTGGGTGGCCATCTGGGGCCCAAATTGATGAGCTCATGCACACTGCACAGTGTCCCAGCAGTGAGTGTTGGGCCAGCCTGGCCATGGAATGGACACTGCCAAGCTAGGCTTTGTCCATCTGAGGGACAGTTTACTAGCACACTACTGGGTAGGCCTCCACTTCCCAGTGGACCTCTATCACACAAGGGGAAAGTGCCTAGCAAATCACAAATATTCTCTTTAGCAGGTGGTCTGGAGTCAGAGAGGGCAAAGAGCAAAAGAAAAACAGCCCAGCACAATCCAGATCACTGTTTCCACTGGGCAGGGAAGACACAGGCAAGAGGGAGGAGGCCTGAGGCTCACAGGAATCACTTAGAACCCGAAGGAGCATTTTGAAAAGCATCTGGTCAGTTCCCCTCCCATGAGAAGACACCATTATCTCCACGGGAACATGTTTTACTTTTTAAAAGTTTGTTTAAGAAACCAGACACTGTCCAAACGTTTTCTCCACATTATAACTACCTCATTCAATCATATCCACAGAAGAAAACTCTCAGCCTCCCCTCACAACAGTCCCACCTGCGCTGCGAGGGTACAGCCCGTAACACCTGCTTCCTCTGTCGCCTCCTGAACACCTGCCACAATTTTATCAGAGCAAACTGGACAGAGCAATGCTGAGGTCGTTAGTAAGGAGAGGAACCAGAACATCCTCAAAACACAAACGGCCACACAACATCACACAGCAAATCATTTCATATCGCGGGAAAGTCAAATCACAACTCTTAATATTGATTAGCATATTCATTGGCGGAAACAAGTTGGGTAAAGGTATTGGTTAGTACAAGAGGGGGATTCATTTGAACCGATTGGTTTAAGCCACGAGGGATGTACCTTCTGAAGTATATGGTTTCCCAACAATTTATCAACCACCCTAAACTACTGGGGGGGGGAGTCATCTGGCATCCCAGGTATTTCCCTGTCTCATGCTGATTGGTGGTTGCTAGGGGTTGCTTTGGGTCCTGACCTATGGTGACTGAGTCAGGGACACCTGGCACCTCAGACCTCTCCTGTTATTTACAGACAAACAAGTCAGCAGGGGGGCTGTCTGCCTAGGAGTGCTCCTGGGTTTTTTCAAGGACAAGGGTCACACCCCCTTCCTTTGGACAGGCCTTGCTCTGAGGTAGAGGCTGGTTTCTCAAAAATGGAGTCACATCAGTTTCTCAGGTCCATAGTGAAAATTCAAGAGTGCCGTGATTCTGTCGTGTTGTGATGATAGAGTTGTGTGTGTTATGAGTGGGCTGGTGTTTGCCCTTGCTCTGAGGCCCTAGGGCAGGGCCCTGGCCTCAGGGAGTTCTGAGCACAGTCCTTGCCAACGGGGAACTGCTGCCAGGCTGGGGATTAAAGTCAGCACTGAAAGATGAAGTGTCTCTTCAGGTCCAGCCTCTGAACAGAGGGGAGGCACTCAGACCCCTTCTGGGACTGCTAGTCTCATGTTCTAACTTAGCTGGGCTCAGGTTTAGGACACCATGTGAAGATGCAGGTGTGTTTTTCTCTTGTGTGGGGCTGAGGATTGAACCCTGGCCTTGCATATGGTACGCAAGTGCTCTACCAGCCACACTCAGCCCCAATGTAGCTATTAGATTAAGTTTTTTTTTTTTTTTTCCACAAAAAGACAAGCACTGTCTGTCCTCACTCATTTGTAGAATCTGAACTGGTCTCATAGAAGTTGAGAGCAGGATGGTGGTGGCTAGGGATGGGGGACGGGGGTAGGCTGATCCTGGCCAGCATGGCTACATGGCCAGGAGGGTTTCTGGCTCTGTGGCCAGGCTGCAGGCCCTGGATGGCAGTAACCTCCCGCCTCACGCCCCCAGAGGCCTTCCGGATGTTTCCACCATAAAGAACAATGAATGCTTGAGGAAATAGCGATGTTCAGTCTGATTTCCCCAATGCAAAGTGCACACATGATCGAAACATCACACACACCCCATTAATGGGCATAGTTGTAATGTTTTGTGTAGGTTTAAAAAACTAAATATAAAAATAGTATTTAATATTCGGGTGTCGTATTTGGAAACTTTATGCTGGTAAAGTTAATATAATTTCTCTGGTTTAAGCAATTGTCTTTAAGGGAAGAAACCCTTGTGAAAGTCTCAGTGTCACCACTCACGGAGACGCCACTTCAGGCTGCCGGCTGCTCCCAAGCACCCAGCTGTCTGCAGCAGCTTCCAGAAGCTGTGGGAAGGGAGCGAGCTGGGGACTGTCAGTGTGAAGCATGGCCGAGGCCCCCTGGAGGAGTGCAGGGTGGCTCCAGGTCACTGGGGATGCCCGAGAGCAGCTAAAGCAGACCACTCCGCTGTGCAAAAGGCAGGCAGAAGGGCGAGAACCGTCTCTTTCCCCCCAGGAGGCTGCAAGGAATGCTCCTTGTGTTTTCTAGAGAGAACCTGAGCTGTGAAGCAGAGCCCTGCCCAGGCCCGCAGCTTCTGGGCTGTGTAGGCAGGGCTTTGGGCTGCTCCAACCTGGGGTGGATCTTCTCCTCCACCGCCTCTCCAGCCGCCAAGAGAAGAAATGCCTGAAGAGCTGCAGAGAGCGGCCTCGGAGGGTGTGTCTGAGAGGTGCCGAGGGAGCCCCTGCCAGGAGTGCCCGCTGACGGCTCATGACCCCGTTCCCTGCCCTTGGCCTGGTGGGACTTGAGCCGCCCACGGCTGGGCCCCTGGGGGTCCTGGGGGTCACAGAGCTCCAGAGGCCATACAGGCCTGGGAGAAGCAGCCCCTTCCCACTCTAGGTCAGACTGCAGGTCTGTCTTCCTCCTTAGTGTGAGGGTGCTCCACCAAGCCTCTTACGGTGTTTTCCTGTGGAATTTTCTGGTATCGACTGCAGTTTGTTTCCTTCCTTCCTTCCTTCCTTTCTGCTTCTTACGGTGTTTTCCTGTGGAATTTTCTGGTATCGACTGCAGTTTGTTTCCTTCCTTCCTTCCTTCCTTTCTGCTTCTTACGGTGTTTTCCTGTGGAATTTTCTGGTATCGACTGCAGTTTGTTTCCTTCCTTCCTTTCTGCCTCTTACGGTGTTTTCCTGTGGAATTTTCTGGTATCGACTGCAGTTTTCTTTCTCTCTCTCTCTCTCTCTCTCTCTCTACCAGGGATTGAGCCTGAGGGTGCTTAATCCCTGGGCCACATACCAAGCCACCTTTAAGTTGCTTAGGGCCTCACTAAATTTCTGAGACTGGCTTTGAACTCCTGGTTCTCCTGCCTCAGCCTCCTGTGTGCACCACCGTCCCTAGTGTAACTACAGGTTTCACCGTGTGGCCCACTCTTCCACCAAGTGCCTCCGCCGTGTGCAGATTTATTTACTTATCTGTTTGTTCATTCTTTTCAGCTCTACATGACAACAGACCGTATTTTGACATATCCTACACACATGGAATATAACTTATTCTAATTAGGAGCCCATTCTCATTGTACGTGATGAGGAGTTCCACTGCTTCCATGATAAACACGGGAAAGTTCTGTCCAACTTATTCTACTGTCTTTCCCATTCCCATTACCCCTTCTTTCCCTTCATTCCCCATTCTCTGATCCAATGAACTTCTGTTATTTCCCCCTACCCTGTGGGGTGTTAGCATGTGCATATCAGAGAGAAATTTTGGTCTTTGGTTTTTTGGGACTGGTCTATTTCAGTTGGCAGGATAGTCTCCAGTTCCATTCATTTATTGGCAAATGCTATAATTGCATTCTTTATGACTGAGTAATATTCCATTGTGCATATGTACCACATTTTCTTTATCCACTCATGTATTGAAGGGCATCTAGGTTGGTTCCATAGCTTAGCTACTGTGGATCGTGCTGCTATAAATATTGATGTGGCTGTATCACTGTAGCATGTTGATTTTAAGTCCTTTGGGTGTAGACCAAGGAATGGGGTAGCTGGGTCAAATGGTGGTTCCATTCCTAGTTTTCTGAGGAATCTCCCTACTGCTTTCCAGAGTGGTGGCGCCAGTTTGCATCCCACCGTCCTGCGCTGTTTGTGTTCCAGTCTGTATCACTGTGATGATACAGGCCTCAGAGAGAGGCTCTGTCTGACTGTTGCTTTCTTTCCTCACCCGTCCTGCTGTTGCTCTATCACCTTGTTTTCTCTCTGCCTTTGAACAAGCTTCTGACCGTGCCCCTCTGTTGCAGGTATGATGAAGCCACCAGGGCCTTTGGGGGCAGCTGCCCCTGGGGTGATGCTACCTTCCCCACCGCCTGGACCACAGCAGTTTGGCCAGAATGCACCTTATGCCTCCAGCGTCCCAGGCCTGCCTCCCCAAAGGTGAGCAGGGGGTTCCAACCTGTGTGGACACACCACCACAGTCTCCCGGGCGGTGCCTTGTGTACTTGATGTTCACGTGGAGGAAAGTTCCTCTGCGTGGAGTCCATTCCTTGGGAAGATCTATTGAAAAACTACCCAGAAACAAAGCCCTGGGAAAAGTTAGGGGAAAGGGATATTCAAGAATAGATAAAAGTTACTTGTCTCCATGCCACATGATTTAGTTCTGGGTTATAGTCAGTATTTTAGAACTTTGTGCCCTTCCTTTAGATGCCTATGGTCTCTATGAAACTTTAAATTGCCCTACTCTCTTGGGTCCTTCACAGGATGAGCTCACTGCCAATAAGTGCTCAATAAATAGTCTGAAGTACACATCTGATTCAGCCGGTGAGGCCCGGGGTTATGTGTGAGGGTTTCCCTCGGCAGAAGAGGAATAAGGAACAAACCTTGTACTTGTGATTACAGCAAGCTGAGGAAGCAGTTAGAAGGGGCCTGAGGAGCCCAGGTGTGAGATGCTTCAGTTTTCAGAACCTGCCACTCACAGGGGACTGTCCCTGGGGACCAGAGCCAGCTTCAGGCCCTCCCTGTTGGAAACACCTCTGTTGTCCCGTGAGCTCCTGCTGCCAGCCACAGAGCCAGGCTGTGGGCAAGGGCACCTAGGAACTGCTCCAGAATCGCCGGAGGCTCCCTCCCCAGGTTCCTGTCCCAGGGAGGAGCCTCCCTGTGACCTGGACCCTGCCAAAGCCATTAGCTCCTGCTAGTAAGGAGGTGTGTGCTGTCAGGTTATGTCCTGCAGGGCAGGGCGTGGGAGCCTGAGGCTTCCTGCGTGGGCCTGTGTGGTGACTGTCACTGAGACCAGCCCTGGACCACAGAGGAAGGGTGCCTGGGGACTCCGCGGATGAGCGGCATTTGGCTTCAGTGTGCTTAGCGCACAGAGCGGAAGTCAGAGGGACCTGCCTGGCCTCACCCTCCACCTTCGCCCCAAAGCCTGGCGGAGGCCACAGGGGAGGGAGGAACCAGGGGCCGCCTCGATGCTCTGCCCGAGGGAGGAGAGGTGGCAGAACCCTCAGTCCAGAGTAAAGGGGGAGGCCCAGAATACACATCCTGTGAACTCAGGCACCTGAACATTCCAGACACCAAGGGCAAGCTGGCAGAGAAGGTCTTGGTCACGGCACCAGCTTGAATCCGCTCCATCTTGGTGACAGTGGCCTGCTCCCTTGGGTCAGGCTGCTGAGGAGGGAGAGCTGGACTTTGGCATCACGCTCAGCGTGTCATGGTGTCTGAAGGTGAGATCTGGGAGGCAGGACAGGCTGCGGTCTTCTGAGGGGCCACCACGGCTGTCCCAGTGAGTCCTTGGCTGCAGGATGGTGCTTCCGCACCCACAGGCCTGCAGACAGCCGTGGCCTCCTGTGAGGGGGCATCGCAGAAGGCCTGTGGCCTCCTGACCTCGGGCCAGCCTGGTGTCCCTGGGTCTCCGATGACCTATGGAAGGAAACCACTATGCACTCTGTACCCTGTCATCGGGTGGCAGTCCCTGCTGCCCCCTGTCCTTCCTTAGAGCACAGTCTGGCTTCCCAGGACCACACAGCCTCTGAATCTGCTCCCACTGGGCCTCCAGGGCACCACAGGCGGGTGTCGCCTCCCCTGGGGTTCACTTGAGGCCACCCGAGTGGGACTGGGGGTGGCAGTGGGTCTGGCAGGTGGCAGGGCTGCCATGCTCCCTGTCCTGGGTCAGACGGGGCTGCAGGCTGAGGGCCCAGGAGCTGCAGGGGAGCCCAGCAGAACACTGGCTCAGCCAGCACGGGGCAGGCAGCTTCTGAAGTTGGCATCTCATGTTTGTTGTTCCTGCACAGAGGATCCATCAAAGAGATCCCACTTTTTCTAAATCTCAAATGTCAAATGAAAGCAAGATTAGGGCTGGGGTTGTGGCCCAATGGAGAGCACTTGCCTAGAACATGTGAGGCACTGGGTCCGATGCTCAGAACCACATAGAGTAAATAAATAAAGTTGCTGGGTCCATCTACAACTAAAAAAAAAATTTTAAAGGCAAGATTAAGTCAGGGTCCTGTGTTGATTTGACTTTTTTTTTTTTTTTTTTGGTACTGAGAATTGATCCCAGGGGCACCGGACCACTGAGCCACACCCCCAGCCCTACTTTGTATTTTATTTAGAGACAGGGTCTCACTGAGTTGCTTAGTGCCTCGCTTTTGCTGAGGCTGGCTTTGAACTGGTGGTCCTCCTGTCTCAGCCTCCTGAGCCACTGGGATTACAGGCATGCGCCACCACTCCCAACATTGAGTTTTAAACATATAAGTTTTTGTTTTTAGAACACTGCAATTCCAAAGATAAAAGTAGAAAATCACACCCACTCATGTGTAACTTGATCTTGGCTGAGGCAGAATCAGTGTGTCACAGGCAGTACTACAGTTTTCTGCCTAGGGTCATTGCTAGGAGGGGTTAGCTTAAAAGTACAATAAAACCTAAAGTCAGGGTTTTTTTACATTGAAGGATAAAAAGTAAGTTGGGCTGGAGTTGTGGCTCAGCGGTGGAGCACTTGCTTCACACATGTGAGACCCTGGGTTCCATCCTCAGCACCACATTAAAAAAAAAAAAAGTGAAATGAGGTATTAAAAAAAAGATCAGAAGTAAGTCAATTGTAATTGATCTGTTTGGTGAGGAAGTGAAGAATTGGAGGCAAAAGGGACTCAGATCCCAAATTGAAGGTAATATGTTTGAATCTACTAAGAAAATAATTTTAATGAAAAAGGAAGAAAAGAAGCAACAAAAATAAGTTGATAGTTTTTCCGGGTGTGTTTTTAAGTGTGGAGTGTAATGGTTGGGTCACAGAGGTCCACAGTCCCTGCTCCACGGGGTTCAAAGTCCTGGTGTCTCCGTCAGACCTTGCAGAGTCTGTGCCTGTCCTGGTCCATCTTGAGCCTCTGGGGTGGAAACCTGCAGCCGGGTGATTTAGGAGCGACAGAACTCGCACTCACTGCTCCGGAGGCTGGAGGTCCACACTGCGGCAGGACTGGTGTCCTCTGAAGGCTGTAGCCCCAGTGTCTCCTCCAGGGGCACCCTGTGGGAAGGCAAGGGCCTGTGCGTCCTCCTGGGGCTCTGCTCCTTCGAAGGCCCAGCTCCGGGACCTGCCCGGTAGCACTGCCTGCTGTGGTTGGGACGGTTCCCGCCAGTGCAGACCTCGTCCAGGTACTGACACGCTGAACTGGTTGGCTCTTCAGAAGCACTTTTTCGAGGGGAAGTGTGGAGCAGGGCCACAGTCAGCTCTTCAGAAGCTGAAGTTTAAACTGAGCTAAATTCCATGTCTTATTGATCATCCGGTGGTGATCTCTCATTGATCATTCCTTTCAGTGGTGAGTCTGCCCTTTTCCAACACTGAATGAAATAATAAATAAAACCCATATTTGAATGTTTCTTAGCCCCCAAACAAGACTCTATACTTTAACCACATCATTTCTGTGGCAGAGAAAGGGGCCGTCCTGCCCTCCCTGCTGGCTGTCGTAATCCCAAGGCCAAGGGTCGTGAGGTGAGGTGGCGTGCCTGTGGTCACACCCCAGTCCACAGGCCAGGGTTGGAAGCTGGGTTCCTACCTAGATGTTGACGCCACGTGCTTTGTGACTCTGGGAAAAGTAAATTGAAAAGTGAAAAAAATATTCAACAATTTGTATGTTTTAAATGTCCTGTTAATTCTATCTGGGAGGTAGTGACTTTTGCTGCTATTTAATACTATTCTGTTTTTAAATTGATAACTTTGCTTCTGAAATCCAAATCTGAGTGAGTTTCAGTTGGTTGGAAGGACACGGTTTGTGACTCTCAGAGCCTCCCTCCTGGGCGTCTGTGAAGCCCCGCCACAGGGGAGCTGGTCCTCCTGAGGCGCCTGGAAGGCCCCACCTTTTCCATCCACTTAGTGCAAGGCTCAAGGCCTGTTGGAAACACACTCGACAGAGTAATTGTTGGAGGTTAAGATTAAGATTTATTTTAAAAATCATTCAGTTTGATGGAGGAAAGTGAGGAGAGGTTAGCGTGCTGTTTGGGGCAGTGTGGTCACCAGGCCGGCACAGCAAGCCACTGGCCTCCTCGGGCCCTGCCCCTGCCTCTCTCTGGGTGAGGCCCTAGGGAATGCTTCCCAGTGCACAGACGGGAAATGCAATCAGACCGCAGCACTGGGGAACATTTGATTTTTACTCAAAGTTTAAAACTGTAGGACTAGAGTCACAATGGCGTGGGTGCAAAGCACCGTCTGGCTGCTGTGGCCGATGAACCTCAATTGTAATCGATCTATTTTGAGCGGGAGTGCGCGCAGACAGGCCCCACCTCCCCAGGCAAGCACACTGGAGCTCAGCCCAGAACCGGCAGCTCGGCTCACGTCCACATTTCACAGGGAATGTGCTGCTGGCCTTGGAGCAGAGAACTGCGAGGCCTTGCTCACAGCTTGGTGGGGCGTAAGTGGACTGTCCTGAAGGTGGCCAGGAGCGTGGAGCTTTCTCACCCTGCTGCTGACCATTGGCAGGGTCCACACACCACTGTGGTGAGCTCAGCTTCCCCGTTGACTTCAGGCCGGATTTGCATCCACCTCAGAAGTGTCCTTTGCTCTGGACCCTGCAAGGTGTGAGTGGAGATGTGGGGAGGTGCTGCACGATTTCTGCAGAGCGCCGTCAGGCTCATCTGTGGCACACCATGCTCCTGGCCCCACCTGCCTGGCTTTGCCTGTCAGGACACCCTTTGCCTGCCACTTGCTCCAGAGGTGAGAGCACTGACCTGCTTTCTGTCTTCAGATTCACAGGCCCTGCACCTGTGCACAGTGTGGCCTCCGCATGTGCCCCCTACCAACCCTCTGCACAGCCGTCCTACCCGAGTCCCGCGTCCACGTCACCCGTCACCCAGCTGGGCGGCCAGCTTGGGGCCATGCAGCTCAACAGCCACGGTAACAGCCTCATTGTCAGCACTGCCTGCCTGGTGTGGGCTCCTGTGACTGAGGTGTTCTTCATTTTAAGGCAGCGCCAACCCTGGCGTACCATGGGGCACTGGCACACGAGTCATTGGTATTGTGTATGGCTGTGATGAGTTTGCTTTCTGATAACCCTTCAGATAACCACAGCACTCTCTACATTTAATGTCCGAACAACAAAAAACAGAAAATACTGATTTCATGAGGAAACATTAGAACACTGAAATTATTTTAAGAAATGTGAGGGAATTTTAAACTCGTGTTGTTTATTGTGGATCCCCAAAATAGAAATACGATGCTCACTGCCCACAGTGCTTTCAAACTCTGTGTGTCGACCATGGGGGAGGACAAGCTGGGGCCTTGTGAGGCGGCACACAGTCAGGTTTTGAGAGCTGCCCCGGCAGTCGGGCGCCTAGCAGCCTAGGAAATCTCTACTGTGGTGGTGGGACACCCAGCCAGCTGTTTTGATCAAGAATGTTTCATGTTGCTTAAACGTGATTTTTTTTACAAGTGTCCATTTGAAACCCCTGCAGATATTTCTTATATTTGACCAATTTCAGCTGGATGAGTCTTGGAGCTGTGAGCATAGCTCAGAGGTAGAGCACCTGCTTCGGGTGCAGAAGGCCCTGGGTCGAGTCTCCCCAGAAGGACAGTTTCCACGACGCCGGGGAACAGTCTGGCTGTCAGCTCTCTGCAGTGTGACTGGGGGTTAGCAGCCCACCCCTCTCTCTGGTTGCTTGTTCAGAAATTCATTTGATGGAGAAGCCCAGGATGAAAATGCCTAGTCAAACGTGCAGATTACCTGAGTCATATGTGCAAGAGCAAGAATTCTGCTGGCCCTGTTTCTCGTGCCTTGGCTCATGCACTGATCACATGACCCTAATGCCCCTGGGTGAACGTCAGTCCTGTTCTGTCACCAAGACCAGCTCTTGCCCCTTGTGAGCTTTCCAGGGCCCCAAGGGCCCCCTTCACATCTCTAGGTGAGGCACAGAGGCCCGGGCTGCGCTCAGCGGCGCTGTCTCCCGCAGGTCCCAGCGCGGGCCCCGCCGGCCCTCCCGCGTTCCCAGGCCCTCCGCAGCCCGCGCCGCCCTCCATTCTGCAGCCGGGGCCCCGGGTGCTGCCGCCACCGCCCACTGCGCTGAACGGCCCTGGTGCGCCCCCGCCAGCCGCAGGCACAGCCTTCCCGCCTCAGGGTAAGGGCGGGTGTGGGGCCTGGGTTTCCAGAGCCAGTGGCTCTCTTTAGGGGTGGGGGAATCCCAAGGCGAGGGGAGCCGGAGGCCGCACTGCAGCCTGCTGCAGGGGCCTGGGCCCAGGAGCCAGTGACCCTCCCTTCCCTTCTTCTAGCTGCCGGCTATGGCCCGCAGATGGGCGCACCCGCGTCCTACCCTGGAGGCCTCGCCCCTGGCCCTGCGCGCATGGCTGGGCCGCAGCCCCCAAAGCAGCTGGACCCTGATGCTGTCCCCAGCCCGGTGAGTGCCGTCTCCCTGTAAGGACTCGTTATCCATTAGCATTCATCCGCCCTGGACTGCAGAGGTTGGGGGCCACTCCTCCAGGATCTGGACCCTGAGTCTCCATTGCCGCAGGAGGCAGGCTAGGGAGAACACAGCCTGCGGTGAGGGCCAGGCTATAAGGTGAAGGGCAAGGCCAGGTAGCGGGTAGGCTGGGGGGGGGGGAGGGGCTTGGAAATCCCCCTGTGGGAGAAGGAAGGGTCAGCCCCGTGCTGGTATGGGGGTCTCAGCTTCCTTTACCTGCTCTTGCTGTGTCTCGCCTCAGATCCAGGTGATCGAGAGTGACAGAGCAGCCAGAGGGGGACAAGTGTATACCACCAATACCAGAGGCCAGGTCCCGCCCCTGGTCACCACCGACTGTGTGATTCAAGACCAAGGTACTTGTTTTCAGGGGTTTTACTGAGTGTTCTCACCAGGGTTGAAGCAAACACTTTGGGCAGTGCCCTCAGCTTGGGGAGCCCCAGCGCAGCTGAGAACAGCCCCCTCTGCTCCCAGTAGTCTGGAGCTTCCTGATCTGTTCCGAAAGCCTCTGTGTTGAACCAGCGTCTAAATCCATGCCCCCCGACACTAGGAGGGAGGGCCTAGGTGCAGGTCAGGCTGAGGCCCCCCAGGGTTTTGCCGTGTGCTGTCTACGGTGGGCCCCCTCACTTGCCCTATGAACTCAGCTGAGCTGCTGAAAGTGCTGGGGTTGTCCACCAATGTTGCTGTATCAGAATGGTAATTTCATCTAGCACAATTGCTTTTCAAGTTTCTTTATCTAATTAATTCCACATGCAGATGCTGAAGTGCTGGAGGCGCCACATTTTCTCCTTAGCTGTGCACCCTTCCCCTCACCCCAGCGAGAGCCCCATGTCCCTGGTCTGGCAGGACTCCACGCCAAGGCTGGCCTCCACATCTAACTCTCCTACTCCCTCTCCTCGTCTTTCAGCTCCTTCTCCTCTTCCTCTAGCCCTTCCTGAGGCCCTTGGCCTCCTTCCCGCTACCTTAGTTCTAGCCTCGGTCATACTTAGACACCTTAGTTCTAGCCTAGGTCATACTTAGACACCTTAGTTCTACCCTAGGTCATACTTAGACACCTTAGTTCTACCCTAGGTCATACTTAGACACCTTAGTTCTACCCTAGGTCATACTTAGACACCTTAGTTCTAGCCTAGGTCATACTTAGACACCTTAGTTCTAGCCTAGGTCATACTTAGACACCTTAGTTCTAGCCTAGGTCATACTTAGACACCTTAGTTCTACCCTAGGTCATACTTAGACACCTTAGTTCTACCCTAGGTCATACTTAGACACCTTAGTTCTAGCCTAGGTCATACTTAGACACCTTAGTTCTACCCTAGGTCATACTTAGACACCTTAGTTCTACCCTAGGTCATACTTAGACACCTTAGTTCTAGCCTAGGTCATACTTTAGACACCTTAGTTCTACCCTAGGTCATACTTAGACACCTTAGTTCTACCCTAGGTCATACTTAGACACCTTAGTTCTACCCTAGGTCATACTTAGACACCTTAGTTCTACCCTAGGTCATACTTAGACACCTTAGTTCTAGCCTAGGTCATACTTTAGACACCTTAGTTCTACCCTAGGTCATACTTAGACGCCTTAGTTCTACCCTAGGTCATACTTAGACACCTTAGTTCTACCCTAGGTCATACTTAGACACCTTAGTTCTACCCTAGGTCATACTTAGACGCCTTAGTTCTACCCTAGGTCATACTTAGACGCCTTAGTTCTAGCCTAGGTCATACTTAGACACCTTAGTTCTACCCTAGGTCATACTTAGACGCCTTAGTTCTACCCTAGGTCATACTTAGACGCCTTAGTTCTACCCTAGGTCATACTTAGACACCTTAGTTCTACCCTAGGTCATACTTAGACGCCTTAGTTCTACCCTAGGTCATACTTAGACGCCTTAGTTCTAGCCTAGGTCATACTTAGACACCTTAGTTCTACCCTAGGTCATACTTAGACGCCTTAGTTCTACCCTAGGTCATACTTAGACGCCTTAGTTCTACCCTAGGTCATACTTAGACACCTTAGTTCTACCCTAGGTCATACTTAGACACCTTAGTTCTACCCTAGGTCATACTTAGACACCTTAGTTCTAGCCTAGGTCATACTTTAGACACCTTAGTTCTACCCTAGGTCATACTTAGACACCTTAGTTCTACCCTAGGTCATACTTAGACGCCTTAGTTCTACCCTAGGTCATACTTAGACGCCTTAGTTCTAGCCTAGGTCATACTTAGACGCCTTAGTTCTACCCTAGGTCATACTTAGACGCCTTAGTTCTACCCTAGGTCATACTTAGACGCCTTAGTTCTACCCTAGGTCATACTTAGACGCCTTAGTTCTACCCTAGGTCATACTTAGACGCCTTAGTTCTACCCTAGGTCATACTTAGACGCCTTAGTTCTACCCTAGGTCATACTTAGACGCCTTAGTTCTACCCTAGGTCATACTTAGACGCCTTAGTTCTACCCTAGGTCATACTTAGACGCCTTAGTTCTAGCCTAGGTCATACTTAGACGCCTTAGTTCTACCCTAGGTCATACTTAGACGCCTTAGTTCTACCCTAGGTCATACTTAGACGCCTTAGTTCTACCCTAGGTCATACTTAGACGCCTTAGTTCTACCCTAGGTCATACTTTAGACACCTTAGTTCTAGCCTAGGTCATACTTTAGACACCTTAGTTCTACCCTAGGTCATACTTTAGACACCTTAGTTCTAGCCTAGGTCATACTTAGACACCTTAGTTCTAGCCTAGGTCATACTTAGACACCTTAGTTCTACCCTAGGTCATACTTTAGACACCTTAGTTCTAGCCTAGGTCATACTTTAGACACCTTAGTTCTAGCCTAGGTCATACTTAGACACCTTAGTTCTACCCTAGGTCATACTTAGACACCTTAGTTCTAGCCTAGGTCATACTTAGACACCTTAGTTCTACCCTAGGTCATACTTAGACACCTTAGTTCTACCCTAGGTCATACTTTAGACACCTTAGTTCTACCCTAGGTCATACTTAGACACCTTAGTTCTAGCCTAGGTCATACTTTAGACACCTTAGTTCTAGCCTAGGTCATACTTAGACACCGTAGGTCTACCCTAGGTCATACTTTAGACACCTTAGTTCTACCCTAGGTCATACTTAGACACCACTGTGATCCCAGAGCCCTGACGCCTGCCCAGCCCGGCAGACTGGAGGGCCAGGTCTGTCTGTCAGTGCTGCGGGTTGCTACCTCAGCATTATGCGAGCTGGACCTACCTTAACCCAGGCTACTGGTCTCCACCATGCTCCCCTTCTGGATCCTTCCTCCGAGCCTGTGCCTCCGAGTTCCTCAGGCCAGAGGGTGGCTTCCCACTGGTCGTCTCTCTTGCTCTCACCTGTGGCTGCCCCCTGCCCATCAGCAGCCCTCACTGCAGTATCTCTGCCTGCAGAAGCTGGCTGCTCCTCCAGATTTCCGTGGCCTTTGCTAGCAAAGGAGAAACACAGGGGACTTCTGTCCCAAAGGCTGTGGCTCTCCCTATCAGGAGGGGCATGAGGGTTTTCAGGGAGTTCTTCAGTCACATTCCAGGTGTGCTCTGGTGGGGGTCCCAGGGTGCCCTGAAGGCTGTTGGGAGTCACTTGTTCGTTTGGGAGATATCCACTTCCCAGATCCTCAGCAGGCATCTCCTTCCTGTAGTGGGTGTGCTCAGGGCAGTAACTAGGGGAAGAAAAGATAACACTGTCTCCCTGATCTTATTAGGGAAGGGGAGAGGGGAGAAGAGAAGGAAAAACAAACATTAAAAAAAAAAAAAAAAAAAAAACCCTTAGAGCAATGAGGGCTGTTCAGAAGATGAAGAGACTGCTGTTACGTCAGGAGCCGGCGTTGCCAGGAGAGGTGTCATTGAGGGCCACATGCTTTGCGTTCTGGTGCATCATAAATCTCAAGATTCTAGTTAAGTTTTCTGTTGATTAAAAAATATTTTTTGTGTGTGTCAAGGGTAATGTCCGGCACTCAGGTCTGCAGGGAATGAAACATACATTAAAATAGACTGGAGTTCTCTCAAAAGTAATTTTCTTGGTACAAGTAGAATTTTCATTTCTCAGTTTCCAATTTTAGAAAAAATAGAGTCAAAATGAAATCCTGTTTGACAGAGTGTCCCTTGATAGCTCACAGCAGCTCAGTGTGGGCAGGAGGTGAAGGGTCATCTCCAGGAGCACTGTCCTTCCAGGTTTCTGTGCCTCTTCATTTCATCTTTCACTGAGCCCGAACACTGGCTAAGCCTAGCGTCCATGTAAGACCCTCCTTGTAGAAAATAGTAGTGGTCATTACACTGTCTCTTCCTGTACAGGAGAATTCAGAGGGCTCCCCAGGAGACGGATTGCAGAGTGTTTTTAGGAATGCATGTTTTACACTACGGCCTTGTCTAAGATACCTTCTGGGATATTTAATATCAGGGCAGTTCTTCCAACCGAATGTCAAGTGTCCCTCCTGCGTTTCAGGCCATGCCAGTCCCCGGTACATCCGCTGCACCACCTACTGCTTCCCCAGCTCCTCGGACCTGGCCAAGCAGGCGCAGGTCCCGCTGGCTGCCGTCCTCCAGCCCTTCGCCACGCCCCCTGCTGACGAGGTGAGAGTGCGCCCCCCATCACCTGGGTGCTTCCAGGACATTCTACAGCTGATGTCTGCAGCTGTGCCACTTCACCTCCTGTGCACCCAGTGCTGATGGGTACCCTCTTGTCCTGTGGTGGCAATGCACACGACAGACCAGGTGAGACCCCACAAGGAGGCGACTCAGTGTCCTGGCACAGCCCCGTCGCCCCTGTGGAGGGCCCTGACACCTGAGTCCTGCCAGGGAGACGACAGGCTGCTGTCCCAGTTTACCAGCCTGCTGCGAGAGCTCCTGGGCACAAATTCCTGAGCACTGAAGAGTAGGCAGCATGGGTGGTGCATCTGTTCATACCAACCGGAAGGGTGTAGCCAATGTACAGTCGAGTAGAGAAACAGAAGCAGTGCGCATTCAGACTCTGCGGGCTCTGGTCAGAACTGGCCTAATTGCTCACACCACTGCCACCCTCTTTCCAACGGCCAAGTGCCGGTTGCTCACAGCACACAGGTCCAACAGCAGGGAGAGGCGCTCTACCCATGGCACTGCACTCACAACAGACCCAGTGGGCCTTCCTGCTGCTCAGCAGTCTACCAGTTCCTGAATTCTTCATAATTGCTCCTGGCCTGGCTCTGTAGTTTACCAACTCCAGAACCTCAGCTTGGACTCACAATCCTGTCGGAGCAAGAAGAGGGCTATCTGCACAAGACAGCAGACCCACTATCTTGGATGGCTCTCCAGCTGACGTGAGAGCACTGAGCTGGGGAACCACGGGTGGTGAGCCACTCCAAATCAGCCGAGGGCAGAAAGAGGAAGAGAACCACACACTGGATTCTCACCCTTGGGATCTCTGCTCCCTGCCCCATGAGCGTCAGCGCTGCTGCCATCGCTGAGCTAGGTTAGGTCACAGGGAGAGGCCTGAGGTGCTCCTGGAAGCCAGCCTTCCTTATGGCCTGGCTTCATATTTACAAATCAGGAAGTGTGTCCCTGTTACCTCACCCATGTTAAACCTGGTGTCTCCCTTCTTGGACCCACAAATTCAGTACGATGCTTATACGCTCTTCTTCAGAACCACAGTACCTTCTGCAGGTGAGGTGGACCAACATGCTGACCATCCTGCGGTGTGTACAATGAGCGTGCATTTTAAATACTACTTTAACTACAAGTATTTTAAGCTATTTTCATGATTTGATGATGAAAAATTTCAAACATACAGAAAACTTAAAAGCATTGCACAATGAATGTCTACATACCTGCTGCCTAAATTCCACTGCAACTGTTCAGCTACATTTGTCTTCCTTCACGCACCTCCTTTTTATTCCTGGTGTGCTTCAAGGTGAGTGGCAGGTGTGAGCACACTTGCCTGTAGCATGCACATCATTAACTGGTGGCCAGTAACTGCTTGCAGATTATTTTTCCTTTTAAGGTAAAATTTATTTATGATAAAATGAACATGTCTTAAGTAGTCACTGAGTTTTGACGAAACTCCTCGTCCAACCCGAGCTAAGAGCATATAGACCTCAGTGAGCCTAGACGTTTCCCTGGTACTTCCCAGTCGGTCCTTCACACGGCCCTCCCTCCCTGGCCCCCACTCTCTGTCTTTCCACACTAGATCTGTCTTGCTTATCTACTCCATACAGTTAGAGCCATAGGGATGCACCCTTGTCCAGGTAGATCTCTCTCTCAGGAGTGTTTTAGAAAGTCACCATTCATTGCTTGAATCCATAGCTGACTTCTCGTCTGTTGCTGACCATGGTTTTGCTGTGTGGATATGCCAGTTTGCGCACCTTGTCTCCTATTGTTTTGGGGCTGGTGGGTACTTAGGATTGAACTCAGGGACACTCAACCACCAAGCCACACCCCCAGCCCTATTTTGTATTTTATTTAGAGACAGGGTCTCACTGAGTTGCTTAGCACCTTCTTTTGCTGAGGCTGGCTTTGAACTCATGACCCTCCTGTCTCAGCCTCTGACCCCCTAGGATCACAGGCATGTGCCACCGCGCCTGGCACCTAGTCTCTTACTGATGGACATTCGGATGTTTTCACTTTTTGGCCATTGTGAATAGGACTATTAAGAGCAGGGGACAGTGGATAGTATGACACTCAAGTGCACACCACCCTCAGTTAACAAGTGCTAATACTTTGTCAGATTTCTTAAAATAACATCTTTAGAGAACTGTGACTCTTTCAGTGTAGACACATCCGTTTGCCGGGCCCACTCCTTTCCCCTCTCCCTCTCCAGGGCAAACACTGATGCATGTGGTGTGTGCCCTCCCTGCATGGCTTCCAGGTGCCCACTTCCCAGGCAAGCCTACATAGCAACATGACAACATTCAGAAGGATACAGCACAGTGAGAACCAGGCCCCTCCTGCCATTGCCACCATCCTTCGGGACAACCTGCTGTTCCTTGCGGTCCATGTGTCTAAGGAATGCATGCAGCAGACCTGAGTGCCATCCTGTGCGGGATCAGCCTGTGTGTGGTCAGGCACTCGTCCCTGCTGCCGCCCAGCGGCCTGGCCTTCTAGCGTGGTGTCAGTTCAAGGTGCGTGCAGATGGAAGGAATGCAAAGTCTCTAGTCACTGATGAGCTGCATTGGGGGCAGCCATACAGGGGTGCTGCGTCTCGTGAGTCCCCCGCATGCTCCCGCGCTGTCGGCCTTTGTGCAGAGAGCTGTTTTTTTATGATCAGGAAGAGATAACCTCTGAAAGACACTTGCGATGTGTATGAAGTATGTGTATGCCAGTGGACGGGGTTTGTGCGTCGCACAGGCTCGCGGCTCCCAGCGGGGCTCCGGCAGAGCCCTCTCCTGGTGAGAAAGCCTACCCGGGCCACATGCATAGGGAACAGAGGAGAACCCAGCACTGCTTACCGGGAGCCAGAGCCTGACCTTCTCACCATCGTTATGTGCGCAGTGAAGCCAGAGCTTCCTGACGGGAACCCAAGCCTTGCCCAAGAGCTGGGGACCTCCCACGCCGTCCCAGCACCAAGTCTCTCCAGCTTTTTGGTTTAGCCAAATGCTGTCTATCTCTCCTGCAATGTGAGACTTTCCTTTTGTGAAAACTTGCTCTGCACTGGAGTCTCTATGCTTTCTAAAGAGATGAACAGATGAGGTTCAGCCAGCTGGTGGCCTGTCCCTGAGAACGTGCGCTCGGGGCATGCACCTGACAGTGCTCCTCCTCCTCTCAGCCTCTAAGGAAGTCCTATTCCCAGATGTGAGGCTGGGGTTGCTCTGGAGCCCTACCCCCCTCTGGGACTGGCAACCTGTGTGGGGAGTCACCCTTTCTTGAGAGGGTACTGGCAGGAGCTGGCCATGGGAGCCCAGCAGCCCCGGGCTGCCATTGTGCTGAGCCGAGACCACAGGCAGAGAGAGGAAGGCAGAGCCTAAGAGCCATGTAGGTGGCCAGAGAAGGATGTTAATGAAGCAGATCTGCAGAGCTGTCACAGCCAAGGAGCTGTCACGGCAGAGGTCCAAGTAAGGCGGTTTAAGGGTCAGAGCCAGCTCAGAGCATCAGCCTAGAGTGGTCCAGGTGTGGTCACTGTGGGCAGGAGAAACCTGCTGAAACCAGATGGGAAGAGGAAATGGGAGGTTCACTGCTGTGGTGATCAGTCAGGGCAAGGCCCGTGATGGATAACAAGGTGACAGGGCCAAAGTCCTCTATGTCCAGCCTTAGGGAGGCCCCTCCTTTGTGGGTCCTGAGTGGTGAGGTTGTGTCTGGTGAGGTTGGTGAGCTCCTGTGTCTGTGGTTCCTGACATGATTGGGATGGCCACATGTCCAGGTGCTCCTGATTTAGTTTGATGAGTTGGCACATAAAAGTTATTGATCAGGGGCTGGGATTGTGGCTCAGCAGTAGGGTGCTCACCTAGCACATGTGAGTTGCTGGGTTTGATCCTTAGCACCACATAAAAAATAAATAAATTAAGGTATTGTCTCCAACTACAACTAAAAAAAATATTTTAAAAAAAGTTATCGGTCAGTTTGTGCCTTATTGTGCTGCTGGGGAGATGGTGGTTGTTTACTTCTATAAACAAGATATGAATTATTTTACCTTGGCTCTCAAAATGGAGCAGCTCATGGCAAACTACAGTTTAATAAAACGGAGTACCTCGGGGTAAACACAGCCTGACGACTGCTGTTCTACACACCATGGAGTCACTAGGGCAGGCACAGCCTGAGGACTGCTGTTCCACACACCATGGAGTCACCAGGGCAGGCACAGCCTGAGGACTGCTGTCCTACACACCATGGAGTCACCAGGGCAGGCACAGCCTGAGGACTGCTGTTCCACACACCATGGAGTCACCAGGGCAGGCACAGCCTGAGGACTGCTGTTCCACACACCATGGAGTCACCAGGGCAGGCACAGCCTGAGGACTGCTGTTCCACACACCATGGAGTCACTAGGGCAGGCACAGCCTGAGGACTGCTGTCCTACACACCATGGAGTCACCAGGGCAGGCACAGCCTGAGGACTGCTGTCCTACACACCATGGAGTCACCAGGGCAGGCACAGCCTGAGGACTGCTGTTCCACACACCATGGAGTCACTAGGGCAGGCACAGCCTGAGGACTGCTGTTCTACACACCATGGAGTCACTAGGGCAGGCACAGCCTGAGGACTGCTGTTCAACACACCATGGAGTCACTCAGGGCAGGCACAGCCTGAGGACTGCTGTTCTACACACCATGGAGTCACTAGGGCAGGCACAGCCTGAGGACTGCTGCTCTACACACCATGGAGTCACTCAGGGCAGGCGCAGCCTGAGGACTGCTGTTCTACACACCATGGAGTCACTCAGGGCAGGCACAGCCTGAGGACTGCTGTCCCACACACCATGGAGTCACTAGGGCAGGCACAGCCTGAGGACTGCTGTCCTACACACCATGGAGTCACTAGGGCAGGCACAGCCTGAGGACTGCTGTTCTATACACCATGGAGTCACTAGGGCAGGCACAGCCTGAGGACTGCTGTCCTACACACCATGGAGTCACTAGGGCAGGTACAGCCTGAGGACTGCTGTCCT